AAAATTAGTCCACAAGTGAGTTACTTGTTTAGTTAATAACCTGCCATGTTTCAAAAGCATTTATGATGTCTAGTCTGCAAGTATATCCATTTTTTGAACGCCTTTAGACTGCTTGGAATGATAGATGTTATATAAATAAAAAGCAATATTACTGAATTTATCACTCTCATTCTTAGAGAATAAGTTTAAAGACCCCTAACAGAATGCAAACATGAAAACTGTGAGCCCCTGGGATTAGCCTCACTATGATCCCCAAAGTACTACAGGAATTTTTAAATGATCATTATAGTTGAAGGCTGATGAATTAGTGTTAAGATTTTAGATTTTCTGTTGATTTAAAAAAAAAGATCCCTTCCTCCTTTATATCAAGCAGTGGTTGTTTGTTTTTTTTTTTTTCCAGATTATTCTTCCTTAATACACAATCAGAGATATTGTAGATGAGAATGTTGAGTTTCATGATCTCACAGTGGCTTACGTATGGTGTATGTTGTAAAGCCTCCACAAAGGTAGGCTTTTGTGGCTATTCAGAGCCATGTTACTACCCCAATGTACCACAGTGTTTAGCTCATAGAGTTTCCCAGGTGGCACAGTTGGCTGGATTCCCATAATTGCCATCTGTAAAAACATAGGAAATACAAATAATGGTAGAGATCGTTTCACTTGATTACTTGCTCCTGTCCGTGGATTCAAGAGACTACACTGTCATAGCAGCAAACTGCTTACTTATCAAAGGTGCTCTCTAGCCTGAAATTGCTACAATTGATCTTTAACCCATTGAACACCAACATTTGGGTCGTGTTTATCATAAATATTGCCTCACTTTTTTTTTTTTTTTTCATTCGTACAGCCAACAGACACATGAAAAAATGCTCATCATCACTGGCCATCAGAGAAATGCAAATCAAAACCACAATGAGATACCATCTCACACCAGTTAGAATGGCGATCATTAAAAAGTCAGGAAACAACAGGTGCTGGAGAGGATGTGGAGAAATAGGAACACTTTTACACTGTTGGTGGGATTGTAAACTAGTTCAACCATTATGGAAAACAGTATGGCGATTCCTCAAGGATCTAGAACTAGATGTACCATATGACCCAGCCATCCCATTACTGGGTATATACCCAAAGGATTATAAATTATGCTGCTATAAAGACACATGCACACGTATGTTTATTGCAGCACTATTCACAATAGCAAAGACTTGGAATCCACCCAAATGTCCATCAGTGACAGATTGGATTAAGAAAATGTGGCACATATACACCATGGAATACTATGCAGCCATAAAAAAGGATGAGTTTGTGTCCTTTGTAGAGACATGGATGCAGCTGGAAACCATCATTCTTAGCAAACTATCACAAGAACAGAAAACCAAACACCGCATGTTCTCACTCATAGGTGGGAACCAAACAATGAGATCACTTGGACTCAGAAAGGGGAACATCACACACCGGGGCCTATCATGGGGAGGGGGGTGGGGGGAGGGATTGCATTGGGAGTTATACCTGATGTAAATGACGAGTTGATGGGTGCAGCACACCAACATGGCACAAGTATACATATGTAACAAACCTGCACGTTATGCACATGTACCCTACAACTTAAAGTATAATAATAATAAATAAATTTAAAAAAAAAACAAGAAATACCAAAATAACATGGCAAAAACAAAAATATATATATTGCCTCACTACATAAACATTGCATTGGCACTTCAAACTAATTTGGGCCCTTTTGCTGCTGAGCCTTAGATTTGGCTGCCACAGGGCTCCCTCTGGAGGTTGGTAGAGTCCAAGGTCAGTTAATATTAAAATAGCCTTGGCCTTGGGACAAGATAAACCTGTCTTTTCATCCAGCGCCCACAAGAATGAGTCCTGTATTTGTGAGCTTAGAAAATGATTGTCAGTATCTGAGGTTGGAGGAAAGTTATTTGATTATCCTCCTATAAGTGAAATGTGATCACTGCTATGTGCTGGTATTTAATCTTCTGAAGTTTTACATTTTTCTATCATTATTGAAGTCTTTTAGCTACAGTGAAAAACAAAACAAAATAAAACCATAGGTCAGAAAAATGCCAGATTTTATTTTATTTGTTTGTTTTAGTGACAAGGAAACCCAAAATAAGGTGGTTTTGGTTCTATAATGACCACCCTCCAGGTAGGACCAAATGATCCCAGAGTCTGAATTCCATCTAGAAGTGTTTGAAGCCCATAGGCATTGGAATCAACGAGTTTGCAGCACAACTTAACTCTTTGAAGGTAAATATGTACTAACTGGGATCAGTTTCCAAATAAAGCATATTAGCTTGCATCAAATCAAAATTTTGCTACTTCATTTAAATTGGCATATACAGGAATAAAATTATAGCAAACTATGTTTCTCACTCCCTCATGATTTCTTCTTTCCTTTTTAGTTGGTTTATTGGTTATTTGCCTCTTTCTTTTCTTCCTTCCTTCTTTCCCCTTTTCTTTGCATTTTTTTCTTTCACTCATTTTCTTTTATGTTAATTAGGTGGACTATAACGTAATTTTGATGTATTAAAAATAAAATTATTCTATATCTGAGATTTGCTTCAAAATAACATAGGAGAGTGAGATTTGGGGAGGTAGAGATGAAATAAGATTGGCCATAAATAGTTATGTTCCATTGGTCTATATCTCTGTTTTAGTACCAGTACCATGCTGTTTTGGTTACTGTAGCCTTGTAGTATAGTTTGAAGTCAGGTAGCGTGATGCTTCCAGCTTTGTTCTTTTGACTTAGGATTGTCTTGGAGATGCGGGCTCTTTTTTGGTTCCATATGAACTTTAAAGCAGTTTTTTCCAATTCTGTGAAGAAACTCATTGGTAGCTTGATGGGGATGGCATTGAATCTATAAATAACCTTGGGCAGTATGGCCATTTTCACGATATTGATTCTTCCTATCCATGAGCATGGTATGTTCTTCCATTTGTTTGTGTCCTCTTTTATTTCACTGAGCAGTGGTTTGTAGTTCTCCTTGAAGAGGTCCTTTACATCCCTTGTAAGTTGGATTCCTAGGTATTTTATTCTCTTTGAAGCAATTGTGAATGGAAGTTCATTCATGATTTGGCTCTCTGTTTGTCTGTTACTGGTGTATAAGAATGCTTGTGATTTTTGCACATTAATTTTGTATCCTGGATCCTTTCCTTACTCCTTATACGAAAATTAATTCAAGATGGATTAGAGACTTAAATGTTAGACCTAATACCATAAAAACCCTAGAGGAAAACCTAGGTAGTACCATTCAGGACATAGGCATGGGCAAAGACTTCATGTCTAAAACACCAAAAGCAACAGCAGCAAAAGCCAAAATTGACAAATGGGATCTAATTAAACTAAAGAGCTTCTACACAGCAAAAGAAACTACCATCAGAGTGAACAGGCAACCTACAGAATGGGAGAACATTTTTGCAATCTACTCATCTGACAAACGGCTAATATCCAGAACCTACAAAGAACTCAAACAAATTTACAAGAAAAAAACAAACAACCCCATCAAAAAGTGGGCAAAGGATATGAACAGACAGTTCTCAAAAGAAGACATTCATACAGCCAACAGACACATGAAAAAATGCTCATCATCACTGGCCATCAGAGAAATGCAAATCAAAACCACAATGAGATACCATCTCACACCAGTTAGAATGGCAATCATTAAAAAGTCAGGAAACAACAGGTGCTGGAGAGGATGTGGAGAAATAGGAACACTTTTACACTGTTGGTGGGATTGTAAACTAGTTCAACCATTATGGAAAACAGTATGGCGATTCCTCAAGGATCTAGAACTAGATGTACCATATGACCCAGCCATCCCATTACTGGGTATATACCCAAAGGATTATAAATTATGCTGCTATAAAGACACATGCACACGTATGTTTATTGCAGCACTATTCACAATAGCAAAGACTTGGAATCCACCCAAATGTCCATCAGTGACAGATTGGATTAAGAAAATGTGGCACATATACACCATGGAATACTATGCAGCCATAAAAAAGGATGAGTTTGTGTCCTTTGTAGGGACATGGATGCAGCTGGAAACCATCATTCTTAGCAAACTATCACAAGAACAGAAAACCAAACACCGCATGTTCTCACTCATAGGTGGGAACCAAACAATGAGATCACTTGGACTCAGAAAGGGGAACATCACACACCGGGGCCTATCATGGGGAGGGGGGTGGGGGGAGGGATTGCACTGAGAGGTATACCTGATGTAAATGACGAGTTGATGGGTGCAGCACACCAACATGGCACAAGTATACATATGTAACAAACCTGCACGTTATGCACATGTACCCTAGAACTTAAAGTATAATAACAATAAAAAATAAAAAAAAAGATTGGCCATAAACAGTTATTAAAACTGAGTCATGAGTGCATGGGGATTTATAATGCTTTCATGTCTACTTTTGCATATTTTTACAATTTTTGTGATAAAGCACTATAATTACTCTTAATGAATCTGATTGAAAGGGTACAAGGAACAATGTGCTAGATATATCAGAATGTGTACAGATACTCTTTTTTTCTAATTTTTTACTTTTTACAATATACAATGCACACACAAAAATCTTTTGAAATGTTAACATTCATAATGTATTAGTGTGGCACTACTACATGAATATGATTTATAAACATACAAACAAACAAACCCACATTGGGGTATATTGTCAAGCATTTGTTGTTGACAGGGGTGCATGACCATCAAGTTCAGAGACCTCTATGACAGAGAAAGAAGGCTGGACCTTATGGGAGGATGATGCACTCATTTAAAGAAAAGCAAACAGTCATTTTACTTCTTCCTTCTCAACTGTATAGCTGTTCTTTTCTATATCCTTCTTCTAATTTTATTAGTACTTTATCAGTTCTACTTCTAAAATAAAATTGGGTTGTGTCCTACCCAGTTTAGGCTCCTATAGAAGATTAAAATAGACAAGTTGACTTATAAACAACAGAAATTTCTTTCTTACAGCTATGGAGGCTCGGAAGTGCAAAATCAAGGCAGGAGTATGATCAGGTTCTGGTGAAGACCTTCTTCCGGACTGCACACTGCTATCTTCTAATATTCTCACATGGCAGAGAAGGTGAGAGAACTCTCTGAAGTCCCTTTTTTAAAGACACAAACCCCATTTATGAGGGCTTCACCCACATGGCCTAATTACCTCCCAAAGGATTGCCTCCTAATACTATCACATTGGAGATTAGGATTTCAACATAATAATTTGGGAGAGAGGGTACAAAAGATTTAGTGTTTAACAAGTTGCCTTTTCAAGGGTGGAAGAGAGTTTTTAATCCAAATTCAGCTCCATGATGGGCCATTGAAGAAAAACATGGCTATGAGCGCTTTAGATTCCCTAACTTCTTACTGTTGAACTAAAACTACTTGCATCCTACCCCATAGATACTGTATATGAGTGCGCGCGCGCGCACGCGCGCACACACACACACACACACACACACTCCTTTTCTCTTCCTGGCATTTGCAACTGGCGTGGAGGATCAGGTGTTGTGGCTTAGATATTGATCTTTGGCTTCAAACAACAACAGTACCTAATGAGCTGCAGGTGGGAAATCCTAGGACCGTAAGAAAGCTCCTTGAACAGTTGTATCAGTAGCATGGCCATCAAAGTCCTCCCTCATTGCTCAGTGAGGACCCAGAGAGACTGAGCTTGGAGAAGCTGGAAGGGTCAGAATATAGGATCCTTTTCATGGCTTTAGTAGTCCAGTTTGGGTTGTGTCTTACCCAATTTAGGCTGCTATAGAAGATTAAAATAGACAAGGTGGCTTATAAACAACAGAAATTTATTTCTTACAGCTATGGAGGCTGGGAAGTGCAAAATCAAGGCACGAGCATGATCAGGTTCTGGTGAAGACCTTCTTCCGGACTGCACACTGCTATCTTCTAATATTCTCACATGGCAGAGAAGGTGAGAGAACTCTCTGAAGTCCCCTGTAAAGGCACAAACCCCATTTATGAGGGCTCCACCCACATGGCCTAATTACCTCCCAAAGGATTGCCTCCTAATACTATCACATTGGAGATTAGGATTTCAACATAATAATTTGGGAGAGAGGGTACAAAAGATTTAGTATGAAAGTGGTGGTGAATAAATCAAGAAAGAATCAACCCTCCACTTATAACCCTTTAAATTGCTCCTCAAATAGAGCTTGAAGCTCTCCCAGGACCTCTGAAACCTGTAATTAAGTGTTATTGGCACAATTAGACAAAACTAATGAATGTTTTTCTGCTTCCCTTTTCTATGTATTACAAATATCAGCTACATCAGCAAACATATACTTCTTCATTGTCAGCTTTTCAAATTAAAAAATGTTTTTAATATCAGGATAAGCAAACAAAACAGATGACCCTGGATATCATTATACAATGTATACAATATCCTGTGTCACTTAAAATAAAACTAAAAAGAGAAATTGAATCTTAAATAGAAGTTTTAATAAGGCAATAGAGAAAAGATATTTTTAAATTACTCATTGGAAACACTAATCAAAATAGGCTAAGCATACACTTCTAAGTACATTTAAATGACATAAAAAGTCATACAGAGAGATAAAAAATATAGATGAACATACCTTAGAAAGTTATCATTAAGTATCTGCCATCATTGGATCATTAAAAGGACTTACTAGAAGTAAAAAAGAGATAGGATCTGAACAATAAGAGTGGAATAAACTAGTAAAAGAAAAGGATCAGAGCCAATAAGTATGCATATCATTGCATATTAATGAAAGAAATGTCTGTGAAACAGTCATGTTTATCTGTAGGATAAATCCTGACAATTATTTATTAAGAATGTGAGTTACCTGCCTGGGAAAGTTTGTTAAAGAGGAACTAGAAAGAGAAGAGCCAGAAGTGCCCTAAGGCCTCTCTTTTCCCCCTTCCCCATGGGGAGGGATGAGGAGAGAAAATAATAATTGGAGAAGGTCTTCAGCCTGCCTATCTGTTCTCTCTCCATAAACCCAAAAGTCAAGTTTGTCAACACAACCAGTGTGCTTACACAAAGCTTAGGAAACCCTTAGGAAAAGCCTGCTGGGGAAAAAGACCCATGTAGCTGCAGAGGAAGATCACGCTAACTCCCTATACTAATCAAACTAGATTTTTACCCGTAAATATGAATGACCAATGCAGAATATTTGAGGAAAACTAATAGCGGAAAGGAAAAGGACCAGAGTGAGCAAACAGAACAGATGACCCTGGAAAACATAAAAATAACACAAGAAACTGAAGAGAACTTTAAAAAAATTTTAATTAATGTCCTCATAAAAAGATAGAATATTGCATCCATAATGTAAGAATACACTGCCATAAAAAATGAGCTATCAGAGCACTAGAAAAATTCTTGAAAATTAAAAATAAGATTGCCAAAACAAAAAAAGTCTTTAAAAAGCTGAATCCAATGATGAATATGACTAAGGTAGAATTAGTCACACAGAAGAATCAATGAAATCTCAAAGAATATAGAACAAAAAGACAAAGAAAAATGGGTGAACAAGTTGAAGTTGAAGCACAGAAGGTCAGTTTTAGGAAGCCTCTCTGTCACTCCACTAACTAGCTGTGATGTTGGACAAGCACCATAATACTAATATCCTACCTTAAATGTGTATTTGCTATTTGCCAGGCAATGTGAAGATCTTACATGTATTAACTCATTTAATTCACTCAGTGGACTTTTAACTGGTGGATATATTTCTAGATGCCATGATCTACCATAACCTTGCCTTCAGGAGCTGGGTGCTTTGTAGTGGTTTCATCTGATAAATTAGTTTTTCTACAAGGTACTAAATAAGTGACATAGAGTCTGCATCTTACCTTCCATCCCTCCTTTCAAATATTAGCCAGGGATTCTTTCTCTCCCTCCCTGAAAATAGTACTGCACCTGTAGTAGAGGGAAACAGAAGGCACAAACATAGAATCATCTAATCACACAGCCAAGAAATGTTAGAGACAAGAGACAATGCCACTGGGACGGTGGTAATCCACTGACATATTGTTTTAACCTAAACAGAGCTTCCAATAATATTCAATTAACAATGAATACTTTTAAAGACTTATAGATTTTATATAAAATTCTGAATTTCAGGGTCTCATCACAAAATCAGACCCCCTAATTGTACCTCCTTCCCCAAAAGCCATTATAATAGGCTCTAAAATACAGTGGCTCAAACAAGATAAACTTTTCTTTCTTCCTTACAATATAGTCCAGAGATGTTCAAGTGGTCCAGAGTGGATAGGTGGCTCTATCTAAGGTTATTCAGGAAGCTTGGTTGCTTCTATTTTCTTACTTATTGTTAATATTTTGGATTTTAAAAAATTACTATCTTCATCAGAAAACAAATTCTTTTTCTTTTGCAAGCATTGATATATTAAATGAATTAGAGCAAATTTAAATCTCCTGCATCTAGTAGATGATAAATATAAATATAAAACCACTAAATTTGTACTCCTTTAAATAAACAAAATATGACTTTTTTTTTTGAGGCAGGCTGGAGTACAGTGGCACAATCTGGGCTCACTGCAGCCTCCCTCCCAGGCTCAAGCAATTCTCCCACTGCAGCCTCCTGAGGAGAATACAGGTACGCCACCATGCCTGGCTAAGTTTTGTATATTTTGTAGAGTTGAGGTTTCACCATGTTGCCTAGGCTGGACTCAAACTCTGGGGCTCAAGCAATCCACCCGCCTCTATCCCCCAAAATACTAGGATTCCAGGTGATCTTAAAATGTATCATGTACTGTTTTAAAAATTATAGGTAGAGATATGGTAAGACAAAACAGACACTAACGAAAAGTTCTTCGCAAAACATTATATATAACCTATAATTACATGGATGGTGTTAAAGAAGAGAGAGAAATATAAGGTGCACCTATTCATATCTACACAGATGCCTTGTTTGTAATAATAGCAAATGTCTATTCGATATTCCTTTCATAATCTTATTCATTCTGAAGCAGGCATTGTTGAGTGCCTGCCCAACCGCCATTTCCTCCTTCCTTTTATCAGATAGAACTCTGATCTTGTGCAGCCATCTGCTTCAGGAGAGGTGGTCCTCATCCCCTCAATAGGAATTGGTCTGACTCATCATAAAGACCCCATCCTCCTCGCTAGTCACTGGTTAGGCAGGTCATAGGATCTTGTCAGGCCAATGATATGAGAAGGGAATCTACTGGAATGAGTGGCAGAGCTCTGGGAAAGGTTTTCTCACTGTTAAAAAGGAGGCAATGGGAAGAAATGGGTTCCTTTTTCTGCTTCTGGATATTGTCGTTAGGATGTGATATTCTAAGATGACTTACAGGGACCTAGTCTGAAGAAAAGGTGTGACATTCTTGGATCTTCTCATGACATTGTTGAGCCACAAAATTAACCAGCCTGAGCGCCGCCCCACCTCTAGAATTCTTTTAATGTGAGATGATAAATTGCTTTATTGCTTATGTACTTAAGTGGAAGCTTCAACTTTAAGTTTGCTTGTCACTAAAAGCATCCTAACCAATGCGTATTTCTTTGTCAGTTTATTAAAAATTCTGTTTCATTTTCCTTACCTGATTACTAAAATGTAGTGTATTTAACGGTGTTCCCCAAGAAGACATGTCCACATCCTAATTCCTGGAACCTGTGACTGTTATCTTATTTGGAAAAAGGGTCTTTGCAGATGTAATTAAGTTAACAATCTTGAGATAAAATCATCCTGGATTGTGGTAGGGTGAGGGTGCTAAATTCAATGATAAGTATTCTTGTGAGAGACACACCCCAGAGATCTAACAGACAGAAGAGGAGGAGGCAGTGTGACCAGAGAGACAGAGACTGGAAGCCACAGGCCAAGAAACACCAAGTCATACTAACCACTCCCAAAGCTGAAAGAGGCAAAAACAGAATCTCCCCTAGAGCCTCTGGAGGGAGCACAGCCCTGCCAACAACCCAATTTTGATCTTCTGGGCCCTGAGAATTGTGAGACAATAAGTTTCTGTTGTTTTAAGCCACCAGGTTTGTGGTAATTTTTTACAGCAGCCACACAAAACTAATATATAAAAGGAGCACCGGAGAGGACTAAGTAGGAAGTCAGTTACCAACAATACTTCCTAGCTTAACCATAGGCTTTCCTATGCGTGGTAGCCAAATGCGAGGGAATTTTAAATCTCTTTATATCAAGGGGGAGAAAAATATGTAGGACTAATTCCAAGAGGAACACCAACATGAACAAGGATGTGTGTTTGTGTGTGTGTGTGTGTGTGTGTTTGCAAGGTATTTATTTCTTAATGAGTATTTTTCCCCATTTGGGATAAAAACCTAGGGTAGAATTTTTACTGAGTTCAATCTTTTTTTTTCCCCAAAAATGATGTGCTTATTTATATCTTTGTCTTCAGTAGAATATACTCCAAATTATTATCAGCAATTACTGCTGGGGAATGAAACTGGAGAGGATGAAATTCCTATTTTACTTACCCTTACTTAATTTTATTTACAGTAAACTCACTATTTCTATTGTAATTTAAAAATTTAGTTAAAGATAATAGGTTCATATTTTCATACTCTTTCCTACTCTGATTATAGGGCTCAATATTTTTTTTTATTTGCCTTGTGAACTCAAGGCAAAAGGAGCATGTACACTATAATGTGATAAGTGCTGAACTACAGAGTACCACAGAGAACAGAGAGGATTTCCACTATCAAGAAAGGCTTCTTAGGGGAGGTGACTTTTGAACTGTATCTTTTAAAAAAACAAGAATTTGTCAAATGGACAATATGAGCGGAAGGGATACAGACATTCTGGGCAAAGCCATGAAAGAGAATGAGGCAGTCTACAGATGATAAGCAGTTTTCTGAGAATGGAGCACAGCATGCACCCTTCTACCCTTGTCTGGATTTGACCACTGAATTAAGACATCTGCCAGGTGCAGTTCTGCTAAGCTGAACTT